ATCAGTAGGGTGATGTCTTACTTATGGATTGTTATTCATCCTTCCTTCTTGAAGAGGACCAATGACATCCAAGTGAATTGGATTTAAGTGAGGCAGGGCTATACAAAATCATCAGCCTCACTCTCTCCTCCAGGGTAATCTGAATCCAGTGCAAGAAATAAGTCAGAATGACTGGAGATGACCCCAGATGCAGTGGGAGACGTTGGTCTTTTTAAGCTAAGGTATTTCCCAGGCAGGTCTCAGTTTGTCTGAGGCAATAGCCGTTCAATGATTTAAGACTAGATAAGAAATGAGGCAAAAGTTTAATTGCAGGAGTAAAATTGAAAAGATAGTTTAGCTAATTGTACCTTCTCTCTTCCTTAGTCTATATATTCAAAGATGATTCACAAGTAATAAGCCTAGGTTATTGGGAAGATGGTGGTACCACGACTAGAAACAGAGAAAATAGTGGAAGAGGCAGGTAGAATATGAGATCGGTTTTGACTCTGTTGAGTGTGAGGTGATAGTGGGACATCTAGGATGAGAAACACAGTAGAGAGTTGGAATAATAGAACTTAAATTCTGGGGAAATGTTGGATAAAGTAGAGAAATTTTGGAGATCATTTGCACATAGATGATAATTGAAGCTCTGGTGGTCAGTGAGGTCACCAATGGAAAGATTATAGATAAAGAAGGATAAAGGGTGGAGAGCTTATCATCAATCTTTGAAAAAAAAAGTTTTTGAAGGCATAAAGCATTATGAAGAGTTAGTAAATCAGAGAAGGATCAGCCAGAGAGGTAGAAGGAGAAAATTCAGAGTTCACTGACATGGAAGCCAAAGGAAGGAAGGAAGCAGCATGCAAAGGTAGTAAGTAGTATTGAACTGAACAGAGATTAAGAAAGATGAAAAAAGGGATAAAAAGCCATCATATTAAGAGAAAGGGAGGTTGTTTGTGGCTGTGGAAGTAATTGTTTCACTAGAAAATACCATGAGAGGATGCTAGAATAAAAAGAAGGGCTTTTTTCTTAAAAACTGAAAGAATGGATAGATTTGAACATATATTGATAAAGCAGGAGAGAAAGAGAGAGAGAGAACGAGCAAAGGGGAGTGAGAGAGAGGCAGGAGTTGTGGTGGTGTATGATTGATGGATCAGTGTCCTTGAGGAGTTAGGAGGTGATGAGATTGAGAGTTTTGGTTAGTTTGGCTAGTTTTGACAAGAAGCCTTTCTGTGAGCCTGAAAGACTAGATCGATGAGGCTATTGGAAGGTTTAGAGAAGGGAAGATGATGAATTTGTGATAGATGGCCTCAATCTTTTCAGTGAAGTAGAGCATCAGATTATCTGCTGAGAGTGAGAGGGAACAGGGAGGATGTGGGGTATATTTTGGAGCTTGAGAAGAGAAAGTTTGGAGCAAGATTGTGGGAAATGTACCTGGGAATCAACAACATAAATCAAAGAACTATTGTGCAGAACTGGGGGCCTATTTGAGATTAGGCAGAATGATTTTTGTAGTGGAAAAATTAGTATAATTTTATGAGTCACTCCAACAGTTCTAGCAGTTTAGGTCTAGGATTAGAGTTGTTGACAGCAGGAATAACTCAGAATTGAGGGTTTTCAGGGTGGGAATGACAGGAGATTAGCAGATCAAAGATTACTGTGGCAAAGGAGAGGGCATGATTGAAGTAGCTGCCTGTGGCATCAAGATTTAGGTAGGCAAAAGTGAATCTGAACAGACAGACTGCTTAAATAGGAGGGAAAAATAGAAGAACTCAAGGCCAAAATGGAGAAAAATAGAAATAAGAACAATAAAGGAGCAGGGGGAGATTGTGGCTCAGAGATTGTGTTTAAGATTTTGGATGGGAAGTGGTGATGAAGTCTACAGAAGACAACTGACAAATAAAATGGAAGTAGAAATCATAGACTTTGAGGAATTGAAAAAAAACACAAATGCTACAGCTTTCGAAAAAGAACATATTCACTGTGAATATTGAAGTCTTTGAAAAGGCTGGCAGTGGAAGAGGTTCAAAAAAACTGTGATTCAGGTTTTCTCAAAGGTAAAGTGAAAATAGGAATGTATCAGAGAAGTCTGGAAGTAAAAAAGGGCTGACTTAGCCCTTAACATTTTCTAAGGGCTTTACTTTAAAAAAAATTCTGATTTGAAACCGTGAGAGTTACTACAAGTATTATTATTCTCATTTACAGATGGGGAAACTGAGGCTCATAGAGGTAATATTACTTGCCAATGGTCACAGAAATGACAAGAATTAGAAGCAGGGCTTGAGTTTAGGTCTTTCTGACTCTAAGCCCCAGCATTCTATTCACTACATCACAGAACATGTCTTTGTAGATGACAACAATGATTGGGAGAAGGTGCTATTTTAGGATGGTATGAACTTCCAAGAAGAAATCATTTAGTGATGGTGGCAAATCCAGTCTGTGTAAGTGACAATTAGAAGCAAGGACTGTGCTGACTCTTCCTTGAGGCTCCAAAAGACATGGAGAGTGAGGAAAGAAGTGGCTTTTAAAGATGGCAAATAGAAAGTTGGACTCCCCAAAGTAAAGCAATGGTTTAGTTACTGAATTGATGAAATTTTATCTAGTAAGAATTTTGAAGTCAAAGACAGATACTTTAATTTTTATAAAAACTAGCATTTATAAAGAAAGCCCTTTATGTTATCTATTTTGATCCTCACAAAAAACATGTGAGGTAGGTGTTGTTATTACTCCTGTTTTTATAGAAGAAATTAAGACAGAGCCTAAGGCACTTGCCCCGGGTCACACAGCTAATAAGTGTTTAAGGCAGGGTTTAAACTTCAGGCCCTTCTGACTCCCAAGTCCAGCATACTATCCATTATGCCATCTAACTTCCTATTTTTGAATATCTTTTGGTTTTATATCACTTGCATTTCATAATATGTTTCTTCTTCCCTTCTTAGAGAACTATTCCTTATGACAAAGAATAAGAAAGAAAATAAAACAATTCAGTAAAATTAACTGATGCTTCAGTCAATTCTGGCATTATATTTAGTATTCCATGTCCACAGTTTCCTGCAAGGAAGTGAGTGAGGCACATTATCATATCTTCTTGGCCACAAAATTTTATATAATTCAATTATGATTGTTTTGTTGTAGTGTGGTGGGTGAAAGATGAAATGACTGAGAAAACAAAGGTTTGAGCTTCTGATTTATTATCAATTTATTAAACAACGAATGGCAATTGTCCAACAAACCAGGACCAGACCTCTTCAGCTTAGGCCTGAACCCTGAATACAGGAGGAAACAGACTTTTAAACCTCAAAAACCATTAATCAAATATGTACAATTAACTAAAAAGAAATAATACAGCATTGGGTAATCTGATTTCTAATTGGATGAAAGATGAGGGATTTTCCAAGTTGGGAAGGGGAGAGCAAACAGGTGCAATTCCCTGATTTCAGAAGAAGAGGTGTCTCACTTCTCCCAAGTGCCTGTAAACAATCAAAGGAATGTGGAGAGAATAAATGATTGATTGTTATGGAGCCAGTTTTCAGATAAGACATATGGGTTGCTTGAGATGTACAATTGTGAGAAAACTCCTTGCATCAATTTTAGGATCTGAGTTTCTGGTCAGCGTAACCTAGGTTCTTAGCTAAAGGTCTCTAAACAACATGTAGAGATGGGCAGGTTTCTCAGCCACACAGGGCTAGGTCCAAACAATACAACAAGGTTTTCTCATAATTTCTACAATTGAATATAGTTTTTCTGACAAGACAGAAATTGGACTAGAATCATAATTGAATAGAAGAGGAACTGAGTTAGCTCCAGAATTGAGTCACAAGATGGAGTCAATGTGGTTCACTCAGTTCCCACAATTAACTACTTGCTGTCCTAATCCCCTCAGTTCTCTCAGTAGATGTTCTTTCTCTGAACATTATTGCAGTCATTGGGTATATTGTCTTCCTGGTTCTGCTTATTTCATTTTGTATTAGTGGAAAACCACTGCAGCATATGTGTCAAGAAAACCCCAAATGGGATCACGAAGAGTTGGACATGACTGAAAAATGACTGAACAACAATGGAAGATGATTATAGGACCTCCTATTTCATAAAAGAGGAAATGGACTCAAAGAGGTAAAGAAACTTGAGGAGGATTGAGGAACATAAATGCTATTGTCTTAAATACTGAAAAAACCACTTGAGAAAATGTATTGTCTCTTAGTTAATAGGGAGTGTCAGAAAGCTTAAAGGAAACCAGGAGTAGGACAAATAGAAAGAATGGAACAGAACAGCCCATGATTTTACGGTGAACTTTTCATATCCAGAACAATAGCAGAACCACAATAGGACTCTATTACCTTTGTGAGAGATACACTACATGGAAAAGGTGGAAAAGGCATTAAAGAAGATGAAATCAGAGAGTAAGAGGTTAAAGGTGATCAGAGAGATACACAAGATGTCTGTGCTGGAGGCTTTTTTCAAAGCACTTAAGGATTGATTTTTAAGATTTTAAGGAGAGGAAGATTCCAAAAGAGAGAGGTATGATGTTTTTACTCTTTCTCTATTTCTCTTCCCCTTAAAAGGCATATGAGTACATATCAATAACTACTGACTTGCATATACTTGCTTTCTCAGCTTTATATAGTTTTTTAAAGACTTATTCTCCCTGTTTTGCCCAGATTGGAAATACAGGAGATACTAATGAATGAATACATGAATGAAACATTTATTAAGCATTTAATATGTTAAAAGCATTGGGGACAAAAATAGAAAAGTGAGACAGTCCCTGCTGTCAAGGAGTTCACATTCTAGTTGAGGAGGCAACATATATGGAAAGTTTCAGTTAAAAGTTAGGAAAGTTCTTGGGGAAAGTTCTGGATCCCAGTCCTACAGCAACAAAGCTTATTAGTTAATACTTATTCTTTAACGTCATTTTCACTGATAAAATTATATTGGTTAGTTATATTTGACAACATTAAGGATTTTGGTGACAAGAGCTTTATCTTCTGGATCTTTAGCAGGAATAGTTACTAGGCTATATCCCCATGGGGGTTGCTTCCCAGAATGATGGCTGCAGGCATTGGGCTGGAAGCATTGCTATTCCTCAGGCTCTTGAGTTAGAATCCTGGGCTATTTCTATCCGAGTCAGAGGAGAGATCGTGGTCAAGTTGGTGGTGGTGGTGGTTTTACTTGCCTTGTACATGCTGTCTTCGATCATTCTTGGGGTACGTTACTGTTTTTGCTTGGTTGGCTTGCTTACCCTACTGGTGGAAGCTGATTGACCATTGGTAATAATGGCTAGTCCATTTTCCATAGAAGTTGTTTGCTATGGATGATGGCTGTGAGAGTGGGGCTGGAAGCAGGTCTGGTGGTTTGGGAAATACTGCTATCCTCAATTCTTTTAGATAGTTTTGAGCTGTCTCCATTAGCTTCTGGGTAGAAATGATGGTAGTGGTGGTGGTTTGACTTGTCTCACATATGTTGCCTCCTCTCTCCCTCAAGGTGTCTTGCTTCTTAACCTAGGATATCTTGATTATTTTCTGTATGGCAGTTGGTGGGGATGACTGTCCCCTTGTAAAATCTTTATGAGCATTATTTGTGTACATATGGAGAGTATCTGTGATGAAAGGAGGGTACAAGTAGGGTTGTTTTGTCAGTGATTTTCTAGAGAAGACCATCTCTATTTTGGTCTCAATATTAAGAGGTACAGACAAAATGAGATTCTGTTGTCTCTGTTTTTTATTGACTTTAAGAAGACATTTAACTTGGTATACCTTCAAGGACAGTAAAATCAAGGCAATTCTACAGAGCTTTGAGATGTAACACCCTCCTCACTGAAATTCATAGGCATATGAAAGAGAATAGTCTAAATATCTACAGTGGTGGGAAAAAGCATGAGTCCACAAATGTGTAAATCTTAGAAAAATGCTACAGATGGATAATGAGCTGTACCTGGAGTTGAGTAGTAGGAGGAAATTAGGCTAGATTGCATTAGAGAAACTGTAATGTTTTCAATCATCCTAAGCTAGATATAACTGATAAAGCTCTAGTGACTAATATGGTTGTCAATCACTGCAATTTAAGAATTAAAAAAAATTAACCCACAGAGTCATGGAGAAATTCATGAAGAGCAAAAGCAGCCTATAACATGGTTATAATTAATGACTTGTGTGAATTAGTGCACCAATCATGATTAAGGACATAAGGCTGGCCCTAATGTAAAAATGAGAAAGAATAGATGGCCAAACTGGTTATATATGAATGGCCCAGAGAGACTAAATGAACAAGTTAGACTTCTGACACATTATATTGGTGCTTTTTGGATAACTATGGGAAAACAAGGGCAAGAATTGTATAGGATGATGCATGGAAATCTTGGGATTTATATCAGCAGAGGGAAGGCCCAACTTAGTCAAGTTGCAGGTCCATCAACTGGTACACTTGGTCAGGGTGTGCTATGAAGAAGCAAGACTTACACAATCATTGCAAATGAATCATCTTAAAGAATGGATTGTTTTAAAGCAAAAATTGTTCTCAAAGTGGGGATCCCTTGGGAATCCCCAAAACTCTCTCTTTGACCATGAGGTCAAAACCCTTTTTGTAATAATACTAAGATATTTAAATTTCTACTACAGTAAATATCACTAGATACAAGTAATATAAGCAAAAGCTCTTTGGGGAGTCCTCAATAATTTTTTTTTTGTTTTGTTTTTTGTTTGTGAGGCAATCGGGGTTAAGTGACTTGCCCAAGGTCACACAGCTAGTACATGTCAAGTGTTTGGTCTGAGGCTGGATTTGAACTCAGGTCCTCCTGACTTCAGGGCCCGTGCTCTATCCACTGTACCACCTAGCTGCCCCAGTCCTCAATAATTTTTGAGAGACTAAAAGGATGCTAAGACTGAAAGTTTGAGAAGTGCTATTCTAAAGAATTGAGCATTAAAGAGAATATGCAAGTTAAGGAATATTTTGGGGGTGAGCTTGCACAATATTCTGCATGACCATATTTACACATATGTATAAGTAAATGCATACTTGGTAATGGAGTTTCTCATATCATACCTGTGATTCTCAGGATTTGTTATGAACCATTGATTATCTTTTTGAGGTATCACTAACATGAGCTTACATATATTCATATGGGCCAACACTGAGGGAAGGCCATATGATAATAACAGCTAGCATGCTTATAGTGCTTTTAGTTTTGTAGTGGTTTACCTATTTCTTCTCTCTTAATCTCACAACAACCCTATGGAGTAGGTGGTGGTGTTATTGCAGTTTTATGGATGAAGAAATGGAATCCAAAAGGGCTTAAATGAATTGCCCAGTGTCTGAGGTGAGATTTAAATTTAGGTCTTTCTTACTCCAAGTCTAATACTCTATGGCACTGTGCCACCTAACTACCAGAGTGATCATTTCAATAAATGAATTTCAATAAATCATTTCAATAAATAAATCTCAGTAAGATTTTTGTTCTTATGTTTCTATTTTTTGTATGAAATATATAGTTCACAAAATTTGACAGTATTTTGTCTCTATTTCCTTAATTAATTAAAAAATCAATCTTTAGAACAGTTTTTAGTAGATTGATATGATTACTCTTTTAAATTTGGATTTTAAAGTTTTATAACTTTTAAAATATGATGTGGAAACAAAATCCATAGAGCTAAACCTTTTCTTTTGCCTCAGGGGAAGGGAAGATTTAAGAATGAAAATATTAAACTGTCATCCTTATTACTCTTTAGTAAGAGACTTTGGGGAACAGTAAACTTCTCTTTTTATAGCATAGGTGAAGGGGACAGGCTTAAGGTGTATAACATTTTCTTAGATTGGCTATTTTTGATGGAAAATTCATCACATATTTCTTCATATTTTAAGCAGAAAAAAATATATATCCATCAGTAAATGCAGCATAGTTAGCATAACTTTGACTTAGGAGGCTGTAGAATGATATTTTAATATCTAGAGAGCCATAATGGAAAAATAAAGAGTAATTGTTTTGCATAGTGCATTCTTTTTTTTTTCCATCTAGCGTTATTCTTTCATATGTTTGTGTATAATAAACATGGAATGCTGAAATTTTGTAGCTTAATTGGGATTGTTCTCTTACATTAGACCCTGAATCTAGTATTCTTCAACATAAAAATATGTCCTGCAGTATCTAAGAGTAAGAAAATTATTTATTGTTTCTTATTCCTTTTCTTAGAAGATATGTGTTAGTATGGCAAATCTGAATCATATTACTATCTAGAAATAGAGCAGCTTTGAGTCATGTTAATAAATTCTGAAATATTAATTGTTTTAACACTTCATAATACTTCCCTAATTCAAAACAAAGCAGAAATGTAGTTAAAACAAACAAAAACCATGGATTTACTTGATTTAACTTGGTGAATTCAGAATCACCAAATTGGACTTGCAGGTATCTTGAAAAATTATTGTAATTTCTCCCTGTTCCTAAAAATCAATGTTAACCTTATCATTTTGACCTTATGTAATAGTAATGGATCCTTGAAACCAGTGCCTTGCACGCAATAGATGTTTAATTAAATTTTTGGAGTAACTGAATTCCTTTGCAAACTTAAATATATAATTCTCAGTTATTATAATTTTCCCTCATGAGCTAACAGGGTAATTCCTGGAGTTGGGTAGGAGGAGCTCTAGTAGCTCCAGCCAAATTCTAGAGAGAGAACTGCTTGAAAGATATTCTGTCTCCCAATCTTCTCCCCTCAACCTCACTTGATCATCTGGTGAAACTTCAAAGATTCAGAAGATTTAGATTGAAAATTGGCATCAGGAGCAGAGTTGCCAGAAGAGCAGTGGCTGATGGCAGTGTCTGTGCGTTGAGAACTTACAGGTACAGTGAGTACAAACTAGACACAGTGAGGAAATATAGCAGCTTCAGGACTCTCTCTGCAAGGGTACTAACCTTGGGAGCCCAGGGGAGAGCCACACCTAAGCTGCATGGCACTTCATGAGTACTGTATGAGGGGAGAAAAAAGAATTCCTTTTCAACCAGGAGCTGTGCCCCCTCATTTCTTCCATTATATACAACTCATTCCTTCCAGTGCTTAAGAGAAGGCAAGTGTCTTTTTCAACTCTAGAGCTTGCAATCTGCAATCTTTTCTAAAATAATGGTGCCCCAATTTTACAATTATGCCAGCATGGATGTGACTATAGTCAAAAAAGATTATGAAGGGCAACCCAAGAAACTAGAATGAATGGAAAATTCATTTATCCTGTAAGCTTGAGTTTATTTTCCCCTAAACTCTGTATGTACTTGTGGTAGAATGTGTCTCAGACTTTTTTTTTTTTTTTTGGTTGATAGGTTGTTTTTGTACCAACCGTTTTCACTATGCCACATTATTAAAACTAATTAGTTCTGCTTGATTGGTAATCAATGAGGAACATACCAGATGGAGGTTTGTGAGCAATAGTATTAGACAACCTTTAACCATTTAGGGTTACCCCTGAACCCTGATAGGAGAAGAAGTCAGCTACCCTCTGGGAATCGAATCTGCCAATGTGAGTGGGGATTAAGGGAAGAAGCCCAGAAGAGATGCTCCATGTGAGTATTTAATATATGCATTCTACAGATATATCTACTGTATAGCATTGTACAAGTAAGGTGACTTAGCCTTTTAGCTAAATGATAGTTTCCTGAACTATTGTTCAGAATCTGGAAAACTTGTTTTCAAAATCTAAATTTAACATAAAATTAAATTGAATTGCTTAGGCTATTTTACAACTCATGTCAATTTTGTTTATATTAGTTATATTTAAATGAGAGTTCTTAAATACTCTGAATATTTTGAGCAAGATTAAAAATTAATAGTTGATTCAAAAGCAGCAGAACTGAGCAAAAATTACATTTAAAATAACTCAACTCACATTTGAAACAAAATCAGGGCTTTTTGTATGGCTATTTCTGAGCATCTGAGTTCATTTATCTTCTGAGAGCCAGCAGGCCTGGATGCTCTTTTAGGGAAAGGAATTAGAATCCTTGTCTTTAAAGGATTTGAGGACCAGCCCTGGCCTCTGGGAATGTAGTTAGAAAGGGTACATCATAGAAAGCATGAAATTGAGCAATACAGGGCTCAATGAGAGGTTTAGTTATGGAAATTGTCACAGCCTTTAGTACTCAACAGGATACTCTTTGCTTTATCTCTCAGTCCAGTTCTTCCTATATGCTATAGAAACAGAAGGTTTTTCTGCCTTGTAAGCCTCT